AATTAACAAGTCAGGAAACGACAGATGTTGGCGGGGATGCGGAGAAAAGGGAACCCTCCTACACTGTTGGTGGGAATGCAAGCTGGTGCAACCCCTCTGGAAAACAGTATGGAGGTTCCTCAAACAGCTGAAAATAGAGCTACCATATGATCCAGCAATTGCACTACTGGGTATTTACCACAAAGATACAAATGTAGGGACCTGAAGGGGTACATGCACCCCAATGTTTATAGCAGCAGTGTCCACAATAGCCAAACTGTGGAAAGAGCCAAGATGTCCATCGACAGATGAATGGATAAAGAAGATGTGGTATATATACACAATTGAATATTATGCAGCCATCAAAAGGAATGAGATCTTGCCATTTGCAACGACGTGGATGGAACTGGAGGGTGTTATGCTCAGTGAAATAAGTCAATCAGAGAAAGACATGTATCATATGACCTCACTGATAGGAGGAATTCTTAATCTCAGGAAACAAACTGAGGGTTGCTGGAGTGGTGGGGGGTGGGAGGGATGGGGTGGCTGGGTGATAGACATTGGGTAGGGTATGTGCTATGGTGAGCACTGTGAATTGTGCCAAGACTGTTGAATCACAGATCTGTACTTTTGAAACAAATAATGCAACACATGTTAAGAAAAAAGAAAAAGAAGAAGATAACAGGAGGGGAAGAATGAAGGGGAGTAAGTCAGAGGGGGAGACGAACCATGAAAGACGATGGACTCTGAAAAACAAACTGAGGATTCTAGAGGGGAGGAGGGTAGGGGGATGGGTTAGCCTGGTGATGGGTATTAAAGAGGGCACATTCTGCGTGGAGCACTGGGTGTTATGCACAAACAATGAATCATGGAACACTACATCAAAAACTAATGATGTAATATATGGTGATTAAGATAACAATAAAAAAATAAAAAAAAAAACATATGTCCCTCATACCCCTAAGCCTTCTGTAGGAAAGCCCTCAGACCTTCCTGCTCCTGTCTGTCTTGATGATAAACTACATCTCTCTACATTGACCCGATATCTGTCCCTTAGTCTTCACCGCATCTCTCGTGGTTTACACAACATATAAACATAACTGCTTGGCTTCCATCCTGGAGCCTTGGCTATGATGGCTTCCCAGTTACCACTGGGAAACAGAATGGGGCAAACAATTTCTGAGGGTGGGAACCAGCTCCCCTGGCAAGACAGAGCTTGTACTCACAGGCTTGAGATCACAGTGAATGATTTTCTCTACGTAAAGCATTTGCAAACACTTTAAAACAGAGAGGGTGAAGCGCCGAACTATTGACAGACTGAAGCCTTGAAAGCTATTATTCTTCATCAACTCATATAAGTTGATTCTGGAAAAAAGAGAGAGAAAGTGATATGTGTGTATCAGTGCAGAAGGTATAATGCTGAGTTTGAACGTCTAAACGATCCCATATCACCTGGTTTCCCTCTGGTAGTAGGCAAACCTCAGACCAGGAGGCAGGGCTTTCAAGTCCTATAAACTCAACCTTCCCCTTGATTCATGGTGGATCTGGCATGAAGCTCCACTGTGCTGGGCTTTCAGATGTCCCCTTGTTTCTTATGTGGCAAGGTCATTAACCGCTTTGTTACTCATGTGGGTGTTAAAACGTTGGGCCAAACTTCTGAAATATTCATAGTTTCTCAGGCCCTTGGAAGAGATCCAGGAAGTCCACCACCCAACCAAGTGGCCACCCCTGCCCCAAACTAATAAGGCTGTCTAAAGACATATAAATGTTCCTGATAGGTAAAGCAACAAGACAGTGGATAGATGGGGGCTGAGGCAAAATGGAGAAGCCCTACCCTATCTAAAGTGAGCCTGGATGCTTGGTCCCATCCAACTGTAGCCTTGCAGAAATGAGGATTTACTCTTGCTAGATTATACCAAATTTTCTAAACAGGCAGAAGCCTGCACTATTGTATAATAGCCTGCTATATTATGTGAAATCTGCTGACTTACAAATGTTGGAAACAAATGCAAAGCATTTTAACAAGAAAAATATATCTGTGAGCTGCCAGTTTGTGGCTCTGCAAACCATAAGGTCGGGAGAGGAGGGAAAGAAGGGGCACAACCCAGAAACAACTTCTTCCTGGTTTCTCCCAATCTTCCATTTCCAAGCCTTCTCTAACTCTGGAAGTATTTAGGAAGCCATTCGTTCTTGAGGAGTACAAGGGAGATGTGAAGCTCTAGCCTCATTCTGACTGGCTGTGTGACCCTGGGCAACTCCTAACCTCTCTGGTCTTTGGATTCACCCTCTGCACACCTGCCCCCCCTCTCTTTTCAGAGCTCTTTTAAGTACAATGACATTTAACTGTGGAAATACTGTGAGTAATGGTCTAGAAAGGCAGCCTGGCTTGTTCATTTTGACAGAAGGAAGATAATTCGCCTCTGTATACTGGAAAGTGGACCACATTTTGTAGTCATCAGAGATGCTGAGAAGAGTATCAACCTTCCTTCTGACTCCAGTTTAGCTGGTTCCTAGAATTTCACTAATAGCAATGGTGTCATGGGAGCACCAAGCTACCAGCTCAGTGAATCCCATAATACTGAGCCTCTGAGCATCTACCCTAATTATTCCCCTTTGCTAAATGCTTTCTCGGTTTCTGGTTTTGTTCAAATTATGGAAGATGGTCTTCTCAGAGAGAAAAGTACTCAAATTAGCATGTCCTTCCAATTATTACACCCTTCCAGCTCCAATATTCAGCTAGGTGATGCCGATCTATTTCAGTCAGGTTCTGCTTCCTGACCAAAAATACCTGCTCCTGTCCTTATTTGCTCAAAATCAAAGTCCTTTCCCTGCTGGGAACAGCTAGCTGCCTGCTTCCTTGGCTTCCAACCTCAGCACCACAGGATCATAAAGCCAGTGAGTGGGGACATGGTGGCAAAGGACAGTCCTTTTCAATATATTTCAGTTTCAATCTTGAGCGCAGGGGCCTTGCATTGGTTATGTCACCCAGTTTGGCACCCAGAACTTAGGCAGCACATCCTGAGTATGCTGGCAGGTGACAGGCATGACTGAGGGACGGGGTGAGATGGGCAGCTTTGGGCCCAGCTCCTTTGACTCCTTGGCCATCGTGTCTACTCTAGTCATTAAAAGCTCACATCTAGAAAAATCTAGTGTTCTGACCTCAAAGTTTCTCTTCTGTCACCTTAAGCAATTTTTCAAAAGAAAATGAATTAAAAGAAAAAGCAGCTGACCCCAGGAGTTCAAAGGTGATGCAGAGATGATTGCGAAAATAGAAAAAGTCCTTCATGTGTACCACATTGTGGGTGTTGTCTTTGTCCTTCCTTCTGAGAGCTTCCAGGATCTTCAGCTCCACCAGGGCCTGGTGGTGAAATCTGAAGTGGTGGGGGAGTGGCAGGGAGGATAGGAAATGGGGACAGAATTCACAGTGTCATGTCATGCTACAGCAGTTAGCCCCTTTCTCCAGCCCCTCCCCATCACCCCAACAAGACCGTCCAGGGAGAGGGGGCAGAAATCACTAAAAGCTTCATATTCTTGCTTCTACTTTGCCCCATTGTGAAATTAGAGAGAGAAAGAGGAAAAAGATGAGGAAGATCAGAGGAAAACGCAGAGTTAGGAAGGGTTGGCATTATGAAGGGGCCAGAATCACGCAGACCACCTCTCCCATGGCCTAGGCCATCTAGCAAACCATACCTCTTCTTATTCCTGATGATTTTCAAGGCCACCAACTCATTGTTTTTGTGATCCAAGCACTTGGCCACCTGTCCAAAGGACCCTTTCCCGATCATCTCCAAAACCTCATAGCGGTAGGCAATGTGGTCATGCAGGACCTGCAGAAGCCAGACCAGGGTAAGAAACAGAGCCATAGGCTCTGGGGCTTCCCTGATAGTGGGGCCCCTGTGTCAGCCCATGGTTTATGCCTGGGGGAACTTTCTGAACTGCACCAGGTATTTGTGTAATTCCTATACTCCTCTCGTTGCTTAGCTTGTTGCTCAGATCCCAGGCTACCAAGGTGGTGCCAGGAAGGTCCCACAGGCTCTATCCACGTCAGGCAGTGCAAAGAACATTGGATGGTCTTTAGAAAACTTGGGTTCTAGGGACACCTGGGTGGCTCAGTCTGGTTAAGCGTCTGCCTTTGGCTCAGGTCATGATCAGGGTCCTGGGATCGAGTCCCGCATCGGGCTCCCTGCTCAGCGGGGAGTCTGCTTCTCCTTCTGCCTGCCGCTCCCCCTGCTTGTGCACACACACACACCCCCACTCCCTCTCTCTCTCTGACAAATAAGTAAGCAAAATCTTTAAAAATTGAAAATTAAAAAAAAAAGAAAACTTGGGTTCTAGTCCCAGCCCTGCTGTTACCTCTAGTTTTCTGCTTATGTGGGAACCTGCAAAGTAAAAGGACTGAACAAAGTGGCTCTCAGGCCCTTCCGGTTTGGATATTTCATAAATCTTGAATGCAGCTGAGCAGTAGCCTCAGTTTGGGGGAAGTTCTATTTTAGACCCCTGGTGCATCTGTTCTGCCTCTTCCTGGTCAGATCTAGTTCTCCTCTTGACTTATCCAGATTTAATTCTAACTTGACAGTAAGCAGTACAGAGCTCAAACCTTTCTCAACTAAGAAGAGAAGCATTTTTCAAGAGTCAGAATCACCCATGTCCCTCCACAGGCTGGAAACTAGAGAACAGGTATTTATTCAAAGCAATGGGAAATTTTTAATTAAAAAGACTTTATCTGCACTTCTTCAGACAAGTCCCTTACTAACTCTGAGCTCAGTGCCCTCATCTGTAACTGAAGATCCTGGATAAGAACCTCTAATGCCTTCCAGTTCCGAGAATCTCTGATTCCCAGTTTTGCACGCAGGAATTTGGGAGAGATGAAAGACATATGTTTGTATACAAGTCCTCATGAAGTGTTCATGATTCTGTGGTGGCAGTTCTTTCATATAGCAGGAATCAGGATCATGAATATGAACAGGTACAACTTTACTAATTGTGGAAGTGGATTGCCCTACTTGTACAGGTTTGTCATGACAATGTACAGGGAAAGGGCAATGGACAAGCTCTGCACATGTTGGCATAAAGGTATTTTGCACAGGTCACCAGTTTGGTTGTATCATAATTATTTATCTACATGTCCACTTTGACATTGACTGTCATTACTTGAGGCCAAGAACCAGGTTGTACTCATTTTTATAGTTCCTTTTATATTTCTAGAGTCTAGCACATGCTCAAGCATATGATAGGTTCTCAAATAGGTATTCAATTAATGATCGTTGACAGAATAGAAATGAGAATGCAGTTGTGCTGCCTGTTTGGGAATTTGGCATGCATTGGAATGCAATGAAGATGGAGATTCTGAGTATACAGTGAGCATGCATTATCCCCCTGCCTGCCTCCACCAGTAACATAGCTCCCTAATATTTGAGACTGAGGAACTGAGCTCCAGTGAATTAACTTAAAGGTAGTGCTGACATCCCTGGGGAATTTTCCAGAGACTCTAACCCAGGTAGGGGTCAGGGTGGAGGAGCTGAGGATGTCTGGATGAATTGGAAGTAAGGTTTGTGTTGGAGATACTTAACCAAGGATCCATTAACAGCCCACCCCTCTTTGAAACTTTATGTATGTTCAGGGTGCCTTTTCTGGAATAAGGACTTACAGCATATATCAGACTCCCAAAGGGATCCTTGGCCTAAAAATGTTAAGAACCAGGGCACTAGATAGAGGATTTGTGCCAGAAACTCTAAATCCTTCCTTCTCAGAGTGTGACCCAAGGACCAGCAGCATGGGCATTGCCTGGAAACTTTTGAAAAAGGCAAAATCTCAGGGGCTCCATCCCACACCTGCTGGATAAAAATCCACATTTTTAACAAGATCTCCAGGGGCTTAATGTGTATAGTAGAGCTTGAGAAACACAGCTCTAAATACTCTTAAGAAATAATGTCTCTTTGGGGCACCTGGGTGGCTCAGTCAGCTAAGCAGTTGCCTTTGGCTCAGGTCATGATCTCCGGGTCCTGGGATCGAGCCCCACGTCGGGCTCCCTGCTCAACAGACAGTCTGCTTCTCCCTATCCCTCTGCCTGCCTCTCTGCCTACTTGTGCTCTCTATCACTCTGTCATATAAATAAATAAAATCTTTAAAAAAAAAAAAGAAATATGTCTCTTCTTTGAAGCCATCAAAGACCAATCTTTAAATGTAACCAAGTTGTGAAGAAGTGTCCAGAGGAGGAATTTCCCAGCAGCCTACTAACCTGGTAGACTAAGCATCACATATCTGGACATTTTCAAAAGTGGAAATTCCTTTCTGAAGCAAAAGAGACACTTTTCACTGCCTGGATTTTGCCTTCAGGCTGGTAAGAGGCACTGTCCTGGAGAACCCCAGATTACAATCAGAAGAGGAGAAGGAGAGATCATCTTTGCTAGGATCCATCTTTGGGAACTTGAAAAGAGTCAAGGACTAGGTGCCAGAGACTACAGTGACAAGAACTTTTTTTGGTTGCAGAGAAATGGCATTTAAAATGGAATAGAAAAAGGTCCATGTATGGGCTTGTATAGAGGAGACAAAAAAGAGGATATTGGGAAGACTGCACCTTATTCCATGGAGTATGGCCTTTCCAATGGGTGCACAGCTATGCAGAAAAAAGAGCCTGTGGAAATTTGCCCAGGACACAAACCTGTTACTCCAAATACTCTTGGAGAAAAATCAGTACTCTGTTAGCAGAGTAGTTTGTATATTAAGTGCATGTTTTCCCATTTTTAAACATGGCATTTCTTTGGTTTATCACCTACTAGAATCCTTCAGGATGCCTAGTCTGAGATGTATTGGCACCAAATGCTATTAAAACACACACACACACACACACACTTTTTTTTTTTTTTCCTTTCCAGACTACTTCTTGTCCTTAAGCCCCAGGCCCCTGGAGTTACCATGACCTACTCCCCCATCACCTTCATATAGGAGCCGTGTTCATCATCGAAACTTGTTTTGCTTAACTTCTCAGGAGTCACATGGAGCTTCTCTGCTTCAAGCCCCAGGAACCACAGCTTCGTGTAGCCCAGGATTTCACTTTGCTCATATGAAGACAGCTGGTTCTTAAAAAACTTTAGGGCCTCTGTGTGAAAGACATTATAGTTGTCAGTTGAGGCAACATGGGGATTTACCCAGGGTCCTGATGATGACACCCCTTCTAGCTCATGAGACAGTCACTCCTTTCCTCAACTAGGTGCCTTACTAAGGACCATGTGTCTTGAATCTCACAGGGTAGAAATGTAAAGGATAAATGTTAAGGTGTTGTACTATTTCCATAAATCAGGAGGGAAATACAAGGAAGGGAAAGGAAGAATTTAGCCATTTACTAAAAGCTATGGGTTGCAGTAGCATTGGTAAAAATTTGAGGAGGAAAGCTAGTGTCAAGTGGTATGTAGTTACAGCAGCAGTTTCCATATTTGGGGCTACACAAACAGTTTATCCCAAGAGGGTTTGCAAACTATAATGTCTTCAAGGGCCAGGCAAGTAACTTAAGTGCAACTTTAAAGGCCCAAGAAGTATTCCCACTCAAATCTGCAGCTCAGACTGCAAGGAAGGAACATGTGTTTGCTCTTCTCTATCCTTCTCTGGCCAGACCCCATCAGGTATTTGGTGTTTGGTCTGGCAGCAGGTGGGGTGGGGTTCCAACTTTAAGGAGATAAACTGGAGAGTGCTGAGAGAGAGTCCTGGGGATTGGGGGTGGGAGGGGAAGGCACCACGTTATTTGACAAACTGCTGAAGAGTTGGAGAAGGAACTGCCAGAAGGAAAAAAGACATGAGAGACAAGACCTGTGGGAAGGGCAGTCATGCATATTCTTAGCCCAGAAGATAGAACCAAGACCTAAGAGAGCAAGGAGGGAGATATGAGCTCTGTAAAGGCAGAACTAACTCAAGACTGAAGTGATCGCCTCGTGGGTGGTTCCTAAGATTGTTTAAGAAGAGGAAGGACAACAATTTCAAAGCTGTGGGTAAAGAGCTCTAAGTGTCAGATAATGTTGGCACAGTGGGTGTTGGTTCTCTTCCTTTGAATTCTAATAGGGGATGAATCTCTGAACCTTGTGAGGAGTTGGGCTCCTGGCCAAAAACCTATGTGATCTTTCAGGCCCAATCATAGGTAATTACAAAGGCTTCCTGGCAGGGTTCATGGGGAAACCGCCATCCCCACATCAGCATTGGTGCAGAGCCAGTACATGAACTCTCTGAAAAGTTGCTGTCAAGGGCTCAGGTTCCCCTGGGCAGCCATGCGCTTACACACATCTACATTTCTAACCCAGAAGCCCCTATTCAGATGCTTTCCTCGGGTATTTCTGACAAGACCTCCTTATCAAGAGGAAGAAGTGAGATATCAAGGCACTTGCCCTACTCTGACTCAGTACTCAGTACATTTCCTCTCGTAGCTCTTCCCCTCTCCTTCTCCCTCCCCCTCCTGCATAAAATGACAGGAAGCTTGTTCAGCTCCCTAGGCAGTGAGCTCTGCTTGAGCTCATCATACACATCTGACCTGGAGTGGTGCCAGTCCACAGGGAAAATGGAACACTGGGGAGTCGGTGTTTCCCCCTATTTATTCTCTTCCTTATACTATCACAGTAAGTGATGAGATGCTTACTGCTACTTTCACTTTGGCTTGTTGCCTTAGTTGACTTCTCTAACACCTGGCAGCTTAGCCCTCTTTGGTTCAGCTCAGCTCATGACACCTTGACCATCTAGAACCAGCCCCACTAAACGCTGCTACTTCCCAAACGGCATACCTGCTGCCGTCAGAGGCACCTTGTGCTTTCTTGGTGGTTTCTCCTCTGGCTTGAGATCTTCGGTTTTAATGCTTGAATGAAAAGGCATCTCTGAAGTCCGGAGCTCAGAGGCTGGCGTCTGATTGTGACTTTGATTCTCCTGTCCAGACAAAGAGACTTGAAATAAAGGACTGCTTAGACTTTTGGGTGTCACGAACCATTGATCAGACCAAGAACACCCACCTCCAGACAGATTCTTCTTCTACGTTTCCAGGGAGAAAATGATAATTATCAGACCTTAGGTTTTCTCAGTCTTTCTCTCAAAGGAAGTATCTGTCTGACTCACATTATTCTCTGTGAGGCCTGTGCACAGTGCCTTAAGCAGTTGACAACCACAGTGAAGAAATGGGAACAGTTTTTTTATTACTGCTCTTGAGAAGGTCATTTCCTAACTAGATAAAGTGATTTGCTCAAGGGCACAAACCCTTGAACTTATGTGTCTATCATACCTCTTTAACTTGGCTCTTTCTTACGTTCTCTCTTTTGGTCCTTACACAAAAAAGAGTAGGGGACACTGGAAGAAAACAATCATTTCATATGCTTCTACTATTTATATACCAGACACTTCACTCTTCTTTCCCTCAATAAATCCTCATGACAACCCTACGGAGAGCCCATTTTGTGGATAAAAGAAAGTCAGTGATTTATTTGCTAAGGTTTACATTCATTGTAAAGAGTGAGAACAGGACAAGAACCCAACTCTTCAGGTGACATTGCGCTTTTCCCACCATCTCGGCCTTTCTAAACTTGGTTCCAGACCAAAGTCTTTGACCTCCCTGCTCAGGGCCATGTCCACTGCCCTGTACTCACCTGATACAGCAGGGGTGGCTTTAGCAAGATTTTGTTGCTGATGCATGGGAAGTTAACCATGTTCTTCTTCCCCTTGGTATCCACAAAAGGGAGTGAAGTAATGCTGGTGTTTGGATTCTATATAAGGAGAAAGTGGATAAGGTGCAGAAGCCTCAGGCAAGAAATCTATGTCTCCAGGGAGTCATTTCTCCCAGCTCCCCTGTCACAGCAAGAATGAGTCTGAACCAAATCCAGGCCTAAATCTATTTTCAAAGCTCTTGTAGAGAAAAGCAGAGTGGTCAAGCAGATGAGCTCTGGGTTTGACTCCCTGCTCCACCGCATATAACTGTAGATCCTGAATAGGTCACAAACTCTTTCTCTAAGCTTCAATTATCTCATCACTACCATGGGGACAAAAATGGGATCTACCTCATAAGGCTTTTGTGAGGTAAATGAGGCAATTCATGTAGAGTATTCCATAAGTGTTAGCCATTATTATCATCATTCCAATATCTTACCACCCTAATATGGGAAAGCACTTCCTGCTATATAGTGTACACCTCCCTTGGTGCAACATAAGCTTGCATTTCTTCTACATTATTGATTTGACCTCACTTGGATGCCTGTCTCCATGAATTGATTGATTACAAGAGAGGTAGTCTGTCATTGAATAGCAACATTTAAAATTGTGTGGAGATGAGGCATGGTGCTGTGGATAGAGTATATGCATCATGTTATGCTGAGTTGATGAAAAATGCCTCTGAAAAGCTATTCTGGCCACCCACCTAACCTCAACCTTTCCTAGAGAAAAGACACTAAGCATCACTTCCCACCTTAGGCAAGAATCGAGTCATTCTGAGGTTCTTGATCTTGGAAGGTGGCTTCTGGGCTTGAACCAAAGGCTTACTCTCAACCTAGATCAAGTAGAACAGTATTGGAATAGTGTTTAGCATGCTATCATCTCAAGCTATTGAGACATATTTTGCTTCATTACAACAATCAAAATACAGTTGAAGCCAGCTCTCTTGATCCCAAAGCTAGGAAGAGCTAAGAGAGGCCTAGAGAAGTACTGAATGAATGTATGAATGAACGCATATCAAAACAAGTGGTCTTTCTGGCAGTGCTTATCCTGGATTGACTTGTCCTATGGTTTTCATACTTTAAAAAAATCCATAGAACCCTTTCTTCAAATAAAAACCAGGCACTCTGGACAGGGGAAGAAATAAAAGCTGAGCTGCTCTTTCCAAAGAAAAGAAAATGCCCATAGTCTTGCCCAGGGACTCTTCCTACCCTCAGAGTGGCTCTGAAGGTGCCCTATTGGAACCCACTAGAGTATGGGAGCCCAGCCTGAACACCAGTGACCTGATCAGGAGAGACTTCACATCTAGAAAGGGGTCAGGAGGAAAAGACCAAAACAGCAGAGCTGTGTCCCCCAAAGGGTGGCAAGCACACCGTCAAAGTATGTGACGTAATTGTGTGTGATACAAGATAACGGATATCTAATGTTTATACATTTATTTTAATATACATTTATTTTAATTTGAAAAACCATAGCATATTAAACCTATAATTTTACTATGTAAAATGAGACCAAAATTTAAGTTAAAAAAATGTGAGCATTAAGTAGACCTGGTAAAAACCATGAAGGTGGCACTGAAATTACTAAAGTTTAGCAAAAACAGGCTACAGTTCGAATCTAGGTTCTTCTCTTTGAAGCAGAATTCGTGGGTTCTCCTTATTCCAGCCCCCTCTTAGGGAACTGAACGAGATTTTCTGAGACACAGCTGGTGCCAGACCCACCCCTGTAAAACTTGGTATACCGGCCACACCGAAATAAGAACTGGGGACAATACTTCAACTTAGTATCACCTAGCACAGCTAAGCCCTCTACAGAGCTAAAATGATGGGGACTATGTACAATAGGCCACCTTGACTTCTCAGAATAGGCACAATATCTAAGGGAGTAGGAGCTACATAGAGCATGGCTCATGGACTTAGACAAAACTAATTTGATTGGCTAACATATACTAATGCAGGATTTGATTGTCTATTGTCTATTGAATGGACAATGATGATATCTGAGCAAATACTGCAGTCCCAACTTCTCATCAAATAAGTCTGTGAGGATTAAAACTTATAACAGTCATCAACAGTGACAAGCTGGCATTGAGAACAAACTGGGGAGACTGAACAGACCAATAAAAAGTATATTAACAAAACACAACTAAATACCAAGCAAAGGACTTGAACAATGAGTGTCAACAAAGAAGGAAGAGATCACTGTTAATGCAGTCTGCCAGGGGGATGTGAGGAGGCTTTGTGGAAAGGGCCTGGCTTGGCCTTGGCTTTTTCTGGGAGGAAGGGTAGAGAATGTGTTCATTAGGTGAAACAGTATCTGGGAATGTTCTGAGGATCTTCACTGCTCATGCTCTCTAAGCTGGAGCAGAGGGTATGCTGGATTGTGGAAGGCACTGAATGCTAACCTAAAATATTTGGTCTTTATCTAATGGGCAATAGTGAACCACTGACAGTTTGAAAGTCTGGGTGTTACATATGCAGAGCATTACTTCAGAAAGACCCTTCAAGCAACAATGTGGCATAAAATAATGATCACAGATATGAACTCTGATATCAGATCTTAGTTTTGAATCCCAGGTCCACTACTCATTAGTTGTTTGAACTTGGGCAAGTTATCAACCTTTCCTCATGTAATATAGAGAAAATGACAGTACCAATCTCAAAGGATTGTTATAAGGACTAAATGAATTCATGTGCATAAAACTCTTAAAGCAGTGCTTTGTATATGGCAAGGGTAAATGTTTGCTAGAAGTAATTCTCCTCTTTTGTAAAATGGAGAGTGGTTTTTTGGTATTTCTCATGAGAAAGGAAAACATGGATTCAGAACTGATGGAGAATGAGCAAGAATATGTGCAATCTAAAAAGCACAGAGGAGGGGCGCCTGGGTGGCTCAGTTGGTTAAGCGACTGCCTTCGGCTCAGGTCATGATCCTGGAGTCCCGGGATCGAGTCCCACATCAGGCTCCCTGCTCAGCAGGGAGTCTGCTTCTCCCTCTGACCCTCCCCCCTCTCGTGCTCTCTATCTCTCATTCTCTCTCTCTCAAATAAATAAATAAATAAAATCTTTAAAAAAAAATTAAAAAAAATAAAAAGCACTGAGGATATTTAACATGAGAGAAGATAAAACAAAACTAAATGTCTGAGAGGTTAACAATTCTGATACTGCCATACATATATACTGGAATCAAATGACTAAATAAATAGATTGTAGATGACAGGAACCAGGTTTCCCATGATGGATTGGAGATTTGTAGATAATCAAGGTCATCATCAACATTACCACCATGTGATAATGGATTAGAGTTGGAGACATCAGTAGGAACTCATGTTTAACTCAATGTAGTTACAAATGGTCACATATAGACAAATTTATAGATATGTGTATATGCAAGGGTTAATGCATGCACTCGTGTGCACACACACACACACACACACACACACACACACACACACTTCTTTGCTTTGTTAGCTTTAGAGGTCCTAAAAGAAATAACACCCCCATAGAAACAAGCACACCTAAAACTCACAACTTGGTTTCTAATACCATTCTCCAGTAAAAGGAAGCAAGGCTCCTTGGAGAAGTGATTAATTCTAGGACTGGGTCAGGAAATGCACAAGATGAACCTGGAGTATTTCCTAGTGACATAAAGTAAGGAAGGGCTAAACAAAACAAAACAACCCACATTGATGAGAGTGTGTCCAAAGGGCACAGGAACCAACTGAAAGAGTTCCCAATGCCCAAATCTGGAACAATTTTAGCAAAAAAATGAAGTAGTGTTGGATTAGGACTCAAAGTTTAAAATAAATATCTATGCATCCATACTGATGCAAATAAATGATTCAATAAAGAAATAAATACGCAAAAAGAAACAAGTCTCCCATGCAGAAGAGTTCCTGATATATTATACAGACATTCCACTCTAGAGGAGGGGAGCACAACTCCCCACTCTTTAAGCTGTGCGTAGTGACTGGTTTCCAAAAAGTATAGCATGGAAAGGAGGGAAGAAAAGCAACTTTACCAGAGAAACCAGACAAACACTACCTTACCCAGGTAATCTAGTCAAAATCAGCAACCATAAACCATGTGGATAGTATGTGTCGTTGATATGCTTGATGAAAATGGTACCTTCCCTCAAGCAGGCTTCCTCCCAAAGCCTACAACCCCAATGGCATCATGAGAAAAACAGACAAATTCCGATAGAAAGGCATCTTACAGTATATGTGACCAGGATTCCTCAAAGGTGTAAAGGTCATCGAAAACAATGAAAGTCTGAGAAACTGTCACAGCCAAGGGGAGCTTAAGGGGACATGACAACCAAATGTAATGTGACATCTGAGATAGGAATCTGGAGCAGACAAAGGACATTAGGTAATGAAGAAATCTGCCTAAAGTGTGGAGTTTAGTTAAAAATGTATCACTATCTAAATTTTAAAAAATATTTAAAAAAAATAAGAATGGTGTGCCTGGGTAGCTCAGTTGGTTAAGCATCTGACTTGTGATGTTGGCTCAGGTCATGATCTCAGGGTTGTGAGATCGAGCCCCATGTCGGGCTCTGGTGTTCAGCAGGAAGTCTGCTTGAGATTCTCTCTCTCTCCCTCTGCCCTTTGTCCCTCACCACACTTGCATGCATGCATGCTCTCTCTCTCTCTAAAATAAGTAATAAATTTTAAAAATCTAAAAAGACGGATCAGTATCAGTTCATTATTGCAACAAAGTACCACAACAAAAATAAGACTTTAATAATAGGGGAAACTGGGTGTGGCATATGTAGTGGTATATGGGAACTCTGTCCTATCTGCTCAATTTTTCTGCAAGTCTAAAACTGGTTCTTAAATAAGTATATTAATAAAACAAACAAAACTCCCGAGGGGAGGGGTAATATCAGAAGGACTGTTGCTGGGGCGCCTGGGTGGCTCATTTGTTAAGTGTCTGCCTTCGGCTCAGGTCATGATCCCAGAGTCCTGGGATCGAGCCCTGCTTAGGGCTCCCTGCTCCGCAGGAAGCCTGCTTCTCCCTCTCGCACTCCCCTTGCTTGTGTTCCTTCTCTCACTGTGTCTCTCTCTGTCAAATAAAATCTTAAAAAAAAAAAGAAAGAAGGGTCATTGCTTATGACTCAGTATAAGCTTGTTCTACCTGATCTGAAGGACAGAATGAGGTCAAAGTGTGGAATTCATAGAGAGGTGGTTTCTAGCTCAATATAAAGAAGGATTTTCTAGAGTTTAGAGCTGTCAAAAAATGGAATGGGAGTCCTTATGAGCAGTGAGCTCTCTACCACTGGAAGGGCCAAGTCCACCTAATAAGCCACATGAGAAATGTGCATGGACTCATGCTTTTAGAAAAGAGTTAAAATTGGAAGTCATAAAAAAAAAAAGACTGTTATGGTGTAAATGTTGGGTTTGTTTGTTTGTGTTTTCTATATTCTCAGCTCCTTTGTCTAAAATTTAAAAGATAGTGAATATGTTTAAGGCCCCTTTTGATCTTTCAGCTCCCTGATTTTATCGTTAACTTTGCATTTGCAATTGGTGCAAAAAAAAAAATACATTTCTATTGTCTACATACTCAAAAAATTGTGTCATAACTTACCCAAATGTGTTTTTCTGTCATTTGAAAAATTTTAGCTGTTATTTGTTCTCATTCAGCTAACAACCATAATTATAATAATAAACATATATGCACACTGACTTTCTATACTTAAAAAAAAAAAAAGTCCACCTAATAAGCCACGTGAGAAATGTGCATGGACTCAGGTGGTGGACAAGATGCAACCTCCAAAGTCCCATTTGTCTGTAAGACTCATTCAGGTGACCCCTGGGAGTGTCTTGAGTGGATCCTTCAT